CCTTAGCAGGCAAAACTTCTGATCATGATACTTCTATGGTTTGACTTTTATATGAAAGTGAAAAGTGAAACTGGTCAACATGATGGAGGGTGGACTGTAGAGGTAACTGTTGATGAATATTTCATAAAACACTAACCTTTATTTGTCTGCATACATGGCATGCCTTTATTTTGAGAAGCCTAAAGAATCAAACTATCTACCTTTAGTGGGTATATGGATTTTCTTTTTCCTGATTTCTCTTCCAACATCCCTTTACCATCCTTTCAGTAGATGTATGCCTTTCCTAATCTCCCTAAAGAACTTGTTTAAATACCTTTTCTTGATTACAGCTGTGTTCTCTTGTCTCTCTTCAAGGATACACAAAAGACTTTATCATCAATGCAAAGGGCATCTCTTGTTGAAAAGTCGAGGCAGAAGCCTTCAAAGAGGAATTGAGTGTTACCAATGTAACCTGATGCTGGTTTATTGCTTCCTTATTATTGCCAGTTAACATCTTCCTTGAAACTTTTGAGGCTAAAGAAAAATAACAGTATGTTGATGATCCTGTAGCAGAATGTTGATGATCCTATCCACTCTGCTTTTGGTATCTGCATCTCGAAACAGCTTACTCAGGTTGATGGCCTTGTCCTCAAGGCACCAAAGGTGATGTTTCATTTTTGTTTAAATAATTCCGTTGTGTGAATTATGATATGCTTGATTTCATGTGTAGTCTTTTTTCAGTTATACTTGCAAGATATAGTTAAAGTTTGTTAACAATGAGGATTGCTTCCCATAGAATGGCCAAGGTCTAACTTCAACAAGGTATTATCATTTTTGTACATGTTAAAACCATAAACTTAGAACATGTGGCTCTTGCAAGTTGCAAATGCAAGGATCAGGATAGCTAAATCTAAATGGTGCTGCCTTAGGGAAATGACATTTCTGTCTTTGATCTCATTACCTTCTTTCCCCTCTGAGCAAAATTACTTTTACCGTGGGAATTGGGATGTGAAAGCAGGACAGAAAAAGAAGGTAGATTAGGTGATGCTAATTCATCATGTTCTTATTCTTTTCTTTTCTTTTTTTTTTTTTTGTGTTTTTATCTAGAACGGTAGAAGTTTATTTCTGAAGTAGTTACTAATACATTTTTCTTCTTGTAAAGAATCTAGTACATCCTACCAAGACGGAAGGTTAGGGAGCTTATCTACTGTGGAGGAATCAAGAGGCATTGTATGTTAAAAGGCATTCTGGCGTCCCATCACTTTAATCCGTCATAAACATGTCCTGCAACCTTTTTTATTCAGCATATTGACAACCAAGCTTACTGATAGAAGAAGAAGTTCAAAACCAACAAAGGTTGAACCCTGCAGAACAACCTAACAGGATATTGGAACAGATTATGTTCAAGCTTCCTGTTCCTGCTCAATTTCTACTATCTGTGCTGCTAAAGGGGAAAATTCTCATACATAAGGGACAAAACTCATGCATTCAAAGTTCCTGGGGTAATATGAAAAACCTTGTACTGATTAAATTCTCTTTATACGCCCTAGGAAAAAAAGGGAATTTCACTGATGTTTGTATCGCTGCCCAAAACTTGTCCCGACCAAGATCAATGGCGGAATACCTCACAAACGTGCTGCTTAGAATTAATATTATGGCAACTGTTTCAACAAAAAACTCGAGATATAGAATTTGATTATTAAATTTTCTTCTGTATCATTTTTTTAGTAATCATATTTCATAGTTTGGGATCAACTCGTTGTCAATAGAGCAACCCTCGCATGTCCCTTTTATCAAGGATACTCCAACAATGGTCTTGGAGATGGATGTCTCATGGATCTCCTGGCAATCAGATGTTCCATGATATCTATAGCTGCAGCAATTATGCTACTCAGATAATTATATCCTGCATATGCAAATTTTGTTTGTGATGCATAATTTCCCATTTCCCTCGTGTTATATACTCCTAGCCATTGGACCTAGATATTGGCCAGTAATATCAAGGTATAGAGCAGCTATTTGTATGCAACCAACAAAGGTGGAAATTGTAAATATTCATACAAACCTTTAGCTAGCATAGAAGATGGTGGCATCGCGAGGCATGTATAATTTGGAACTTTCCTCCGTTCCACTGAAATTAATAAAGAGTTAAGTACATATTTGAGGAACTCAACAGAAAGCTGAATATTTGCCTTTCTTAATCTTGTTTAACAGGGGACTGCTTTGGATTTTTATGCTGCAAGTAATAGCAACAAACCAGTTCAGACTATTGTTTTCAGGTGCACTCGTGTTGATGCTACAAAGCTTCTATTGCTCTAGCACTTACAAAAGGTCAAACTTATTACATTATATGTGAACACCTTTTCTGTTCTTATGAGCGTTTATATGGTATGTGAACATTTAGTCACAGTCATACATGGCCACCTGATAAACTATGGGTGAACAATTTGTCAGTTTGTATGATCATCAAATGGTATGTGACAGTTTCTGCTTGAAATCTCTTCAGCTTTGCTTTCTTATTTCAGAATATGGATGATCTCCACCTTTGGCACTAGCTTTGCTTTTCTTAATAAAGTCATCAACAAGTACAAGAAAGATGATTGGTTTTGCCCTAGATGTGCCGCCTGCCCGAGAGACGCGATGCACTGACACTCGTGACAATCATTCAAAATAGTGTAACACTTTTTATACAAGTTATAAATACTTTTTAATTACTTGTACACATTTACAGCAAGAGTTGTAATATTCTGTTACTGTTCAAATGAATGCCATGCATAATAATTATGTATCTATTATGAAATTTTACAAGTAATTCATTTCACGTAGAGTTACAAGGTATTCAAAAAGTGTTACATTGTTTTAAACGGTTGCCATCCGTGCCCTAAATATGTTGCACTGCACTAAAAGTGCTACATAACACCCCTTGCCTTCAATGTTTTCAGAACCGGACCGGACCGGCCGGTTCGACCGGTCCGACCGCGAATCGGTCATGTCACCGGTCCGGTCTAATATCAAACCCGGAAGGTAATGGAAAACCGCTATGAACCGGCCGAACCATTAAAACCCGCATAAACCGCGAACCGGCGGTTCTCAGATTTTCCCTCAAATTCAAAATAATAGCAAGAGTGGAGGCTTGCCATCCGTGCCCTAAATATGTTGCACTGCACTAAAAGTGCTACATAACACCCCTTGCCTTCAATGTTTTCAGAATCGGACCGGACCGGCCGGTTCGACCGGTCCGACCGCGAATCGGTCATGTCACCGGTCCGGTCTAATATCAAACCCGGAAGGTAATGGAAAACCGCTATGAACCGGCAGAACCATACGAACCGTTAAAACCTGCATAAACCGCGAACCGGCGGTTCTCAGATTTTCCCTCAAATTCAAAATAATAGCAAGAGTGGAGGCTGCTGAGATTCGAACAGTGCTACATAACACCCCTTGCCTTCAATGTTTTCAGAATCAGACCGGACCGGCCGGTTCGACCGGTCCGACCGCGAATCGGTCATGTCACCGGTCCGGTCTAATATCAAACCCGGAAGGTAATGGAAAACCGCTATGAACCGGCAGAACCATACGAACCGTTAAAACCCGCATAAACAGCGAACCGGCGGTTCTCAGATTTTCCCTCAAATTCAAAATAATAGCAAGAGTGGAGGCTGCTGAGATTCGAACACAGGTGACCGAGACCAGAATAAGGCACGCAAACCACTGAACCACAGCCGAAGGACAAGCTATTGTTGCGTGAAATTTTACTTAACTAAAAACTAAAATCAAATAAAATAAAAAAAACCCTAGCATTAAGAAAGTGCAGACGGCACAGGCACATTTCATTTCAATTTCACTTCCTCCGTTTCTCCCTTTCGGCTCCCCCAGTTCTCATCTTGATTTTTTTTAAAATTTTTTCTTCATAATCCTTTCACATCCAAATATTCAAGACAAGATCATCACGCTATTTTCTGTGGACCAAACTCCAGAGCTTTTCCATCTTGGTAAGTTTAATTTTTACCATTTATTGTTTTTCATAGAACATGTATGTTGGATTATTTCTGTGATGCCGATTGTTTCTTCTTACTATTCTTATATTGATCAATTGTTTCATCAAATTATTCATAGTTTGAGGGTGTAAATTTTTTGTTGCTACAAATTGTTGATAGCAACCAAGAATTTAGCCCTTACCCCTACTTGATTGGGTTGATTCTAAAATTAAAATTATTATAATTTGAGGATAAAAATGAGATTTATTAATAATTTGGGATTAATATTTCATATTAATTAACGAATAATTTTCTTGAAAATACAGAGATATGTCTGACTTTGAAATAATCATGACATTTTTTACCCATTGCCACGTATCCAGAGACATGTTATTCAAGAAGAAACATTTCAGTTTTTGTAAGAGCTGCATTTGTTTATGACTTATAAATGATAGCATTTTTTACAGTTGATTTCCTTCTTCGGTTGAATATAGAAAAATTCACTACTTTTAGGAGTCATTTTCTTCGAATCTGTGTTCTTTAACGAATTAGTAGAAATCATTTTAATTGTCAAACCCAAGAAAAATTGCCTATGGCAACTTGTTTGAGCAATTTACGTCTTTGCTAACTTTTCTGTTTCCTTTATCTATTGTTTGTTCAAATTACCTAGACAATAACAGTATAACACACGCTGTATATAAATTGACTAGGTACGTAATTGTCTCACTATTAGTATATATCCTTCTTGTTATTTCTTTGTTTCTTAGGAAAACAAAAAGTAAGATTAAATTAACTAGTTTTGTGCTACTAAGAACCATTAATAGCCATGAGTTTTGTGCTACTAAGAACCATTAAAATCCCTCTACTGTGATAACTATATCTTTTTTTTTGTAAATGAAAAAATTAAATGCTAACAGTTGAGCTATTCATGTGACTAATTGATCTTCTTATATTACTGAAAATTTGTTAATTTTATTTTCTTGTTAGTACACTATATTTTACAAATGAACCAATTATGTGTTTGAATTAACTATGTGAAGGATAATGGATACCAGTACTGGTACGGGTAGTAATTCACAATCTTCGACTGCTGGAGCTGTCAATAGTGAACAATCAGCCAGTCAAAATCATAGACAAAAGTCTGATATAGCATGGAAATATTGTTCAGTAGGTGTGAATAGTCAAGGAAGAAGAACTTTGACATGTGGGTATTGTTTTAAAGTAATTGCTGGTGGTGGCATTCATCGAATGAAACAACATTTGGCAGGAGAACAAGGCAGTGGAAATATTGTTCAGTAGGTGTGAATAGTCAAGGAAGAAGAACTTTGACATGTGGGTATTGTTTTAAAGTAATTGCTGGTGGTGGCATTCATCGAATGAAACAACATTTGGCAGGAGAACAAGGCAGCATTGTTCCATGTTCAAAGGTTGACCCGACAGTTAGACATGCTATTTTAGCATCTATGAAGGAGAAGGAGCAGAAATCTAAAGAAACAAAAGGTGATTTTGGGGTGGAAAATCCATTCGGCCACACTACTCATTCATTTGATGGCGATGAAGTTTTGGAGATTCCTTCTTCTTTAGCAAATAAGATGGGTTCATCTAGTAAAAGAAAGAGAAAGGTCACTGCATCAACAGGTATTCGTGCTTTTTTTAAAGGTGGATGTGATACTTCTCAACCAACCATTAAAGCTTGTTTGCAAAGTAAGGAAAAATGGAAAAATACGGACATGGCTATTGCTCTTTGGTTTTATGATGCTTGCATTCCTATAAATGCTGTTAATTCTCCATTTTTTCAAAAAGCTATTGATCAAATAGCATCAATGGGTCATGGTTACAAAAGTCCATTCTATCATTCTTTGAGAGTTAATTTGTTGCGAAATGCCAAGAGAGATGTGAAATTGGTTGTTGATTCTTTTAGAAGCACTTGGACAGAAACTGGTTGCACTATAATGGGTGATGGATGGAAAGACACTAGGCAAAGACCATTGATTAATTTTTTGGTTTATTGTCCTAAGGGTATTTCGTTCATTAAATCTGTGGATGCATCTGATATTGTAACAAGTGCAGAAAATTTGTGCAATTTATTTGCTGAAATTGTTGAGATGGTTGGTTCAAATAATGTGGTGCACTTAGTTACTGATAATGCTAGCAATTATAAAGCTGCTGGGTCTTTGTTAAGTGAAAGATATCCGAACATTTGTTGGTCACCGTGTGCTGCACACTGCATCAATTTGATTTTGAAAGACATTGGTGAAATGAATGATGTAAAAGCTATAGTGTCTCTTGCTTCAACGGTGACTGTTTTTATTTACAATCATAAGTTCACTTTGAATTGGTTAAGAAAGACTACAGGGTGGAAAGAAATTATTCGTCCAGGTGAAACTCGATTTGCAACTACCTTTATTGCATTAAAAAGTTTGCATGATCATAAGGATAGTTTGCAATCTTTGGTTACTAGTGGGGATTACAAACAATTTCTGAGAATAGAAAAAGGAAAAGATGTGAAGCAAATCGTTTTGGATGAAAGGTTTTGGAATAACTGTTTGATTATGGTGAGAATAATGGGTCCTATCATTCGTTTATTGCGTATTTGTGACACTGATGAAAGGCCTTCATTGGGTTATGTTTATGAAGGCATGTTTAGAGCAATAAATGGCATCAAAAGGCTGTTTAGAAATAAAGAGAGATTGTACAAGCCTTATATTGACATCATCAGTGACAGGTGGGATAGAATGTTGAGAAAAAATCTACATGCTGTCGCTTATTATTTGAATCCTGCTTTTCAATATGAGAGTGCCACATTTTGTACACATCCAGAGGTTATAAATGGCTTGCTTGATTATATTGAAACAAAAGTGGATTGGTGCAACCCTGAAAAATTATCGCAAGAGATTGGAATGTATCGGGAAAGACAAGGGAGTTTTGGGCGCAAACTTGCTATTCTTACTAGCAAATTTGATCGGCCAGGTTATTTATATTTTTTTTAATGTCTAAAAATTGTGATTTTATTCTTTATTTGATCTAATATTTTAATATGATTGTGACAGAAAATTGGTGGAAGTTATATGGTTGTGATACTCCGAATTTGCAAAAGCTTGCAATTAGAATTTTGAGTCAAACTGCTTCTTCTTCTGGGTGTGAACGTAATTGGAGCGTTTTTGAACGCATTCACACTAAAAAAAGGAATAGGTTGGAGCACCAAAGACTTAATGATCTTGTATATGTGCACTACAATTTGCGTTTGCAACATAGGTATAATTGATTTTTTACTTTATTCTTTACATTTTATTTTATAAAGTAATATTAGATTTGTAACTAATGTATTTTATTGTAGGTTTGATCACCGAAAGAGATCTTATGATCCCATTGATTATGAATCTATTGATAAAACGGAATTTTGGGTCATAGAAGAAGAACAAGATGGCGAGCTTAATTGTGATGAATTGGAGGAAGAACTCGAAGAACTTCCTAAAGATGATTCTCAACTAGTTGAAGGTTGGTTTTAATATTAAAATAAATATATTTTTAACCTGTAATATAAGGTGCTAAAAGTACATTTTTTAATTTGAATTGTATTATAAATATGGATAAATTCTTAATTGTTCATTTATTTATTTATATAGATGATGAAAGTGAAGTTGGGGAAGATAATGATATTGATTTGGAAGCATTTCAGCGTAGGCGCCTTTTGGATGATGATGAAGATAATGATTGGTAATATAACATATTAATTAGTAATGTTTAGTAGCAATTGATTCTTTTTGTGTTTGGTTGTATCTTTGTTTTTAGAAATTTTTTGACTTTTTTTTAGTTCCACCAATTAGATTTATATTTTTTGTAATAAACTTTTTAATTTTTCAGGTTAAATTGATGAAATTGTGAAGGAGGTGCTGTTGCCTTGTCATGCCAATGATGGAAATTTGTTATTCAAATTGTTTGCTTTGAATATGAGTTGAACTCTGTTATGGACTTTTTGAGAATTGTGAAAGAATGTCAACATTTATTTTATTTATTTTTGTGTTTTTGTTTGTGATAATTGATGAACATTTGGACTATATCTATTTATGTTTGTAATGAATTTATGAAAACCTGCGATGAATTATGATATTTTAGTTATATTTATCATGCCAGGTTTCATGTATAACTTTTAGAAAATTTATTATTATCTCAACTTAAATTTAATTTTAAGTTATATTGGTAAATGTATTTTAGGGATTTAAGTTATTAATAATCATATTAGATTGTATATTAGCCGTTAAGTTTCAGTGTAGACGGTAGAGTAAAGAACTATGAAGCAAAAAAAAAAAAAAAAAACATTGAACCGTTGAACCAGCCGGTCGGACTCGTGAACCGTCCCTATCTCCGGTTCGCTGGCCGGTCCGAGTTTAAAAACATTGCTTGCCTTGGCACACAATGGACGTTTCCAAGTTACCGCTTACCATGACAGCTCAAGAATGGACATTTCCAAGTTGACTTCTACCAATATCAAGATTGAGCTCATCTGGTCAAATGCTATTCTAAGCCCCAAATCATTGCCTAGCCACTTCTTTGATTTAGAGAATTCTAGTTGTTGACACAGAATCTCAAGTTTGACACGTCATGAAAATACAAAGGTGGATTTTTTCCCTTCCATGTCAATATGTCATAGGGGGTAAGAACAACCGAAGGAAGCCTGGAAATGTTCCTCTTGAGACTAGTGAAATTCATCGCAAATTAACAGGTCAGCCCGCCCACTGCCATATCTCGCTTAATGAGCTTGTTTTCTCCCCTGCTGACTTAAAATACTTCATCCTCTGTCACACATGAGCAAGATTCAGTCTCTTCCTTCCGGTTAAAGTTCTGCGCCTAGTTTAGCTTTATCAAAGCGATCAGCTTAAGATCACGATTCATGTAATTTCACTTGGCTTTTCTATAAAACTTCCGTCCACCTGCAATTTACCCTTTCTTTTTTTTTAAGTTAGCATGGTTGTAAAGTTATTTGGTTACAAACTCTTTTTAAAACTATAATGTGCTTCTCTAAATGACTTTAATTCTTTGGAAAAATCTCACTTTCGAACTTTTGACATAATGTCTAGCTAACGCTTTTAAACAATGTTTTGAAAATTGAATCAGACTAACCAGTTCAGCTAATTGAATCGCGAACTGGTCATGTTTTTTGTCCAATTCAACAAAAAAATCCAAAAAATTAATTAAATTGATCAACCAATTTTTATTAATTTTTATTTTATAAAATAAATATTTTAGTTTTATTCAAGATTTTTAATATTAAAATAAATAAAAAAAATTATTAAACCTTTGAACTGAGGTTGAATCAATTAAATCTTTTTATTTTTTAAAATAAATATTGTAGTTTTACTCAAAACATAAACCGAAAGTTTTTTTGATTCACTTTCTGATTAGAATTTAAAAACATTTACTTTTTAAATTTTAAAGTTCACCTGAAAAATCAACATATTTAACAACAGATAATAAGTATGAATTTCTAAAATTAGGAAAGTCAACCGTCTTTATCTTTGTTTCAATCGTACATATGTCATATAGAGTGGAGAGAATAGCACTTTCTTTCCGTGCTTTTAACAGCCAAATTATTATGCGCACAAGCAACCCTACCCTCGTACAATCCGCAATTGAATATACTACCAACCAAATAGCAACTACATTTTCATTGGCGGTTTATCTACTTTATATGTAATAATAAGACATGCTGGTTGAATCATCGAATTCTTCCTAAGATCCTTCTCTCTTGTAACATATTCTTGTATTTAATTAGTAATTAATTTAACTAATTAAATTAATGTGATTATATTAACATAATCTTTTCCTACAGTCCTCCCACTATTTTATCCTCCACCCCAAAATACAATCCCTATTACAAAATCTCTCAGCTGATTGAACTTCAAATTAGCTTGGAGAACGAAATTGAAAGACAGTTCAGCGAAAAAAATAACCAAAAAAATATAAATAAAGAGCAAACGAAGCCTCAGATAGTCGATCTAACATCAAGTAATGATTCAGCCGGTAATTCCAGATATTTATAAAATTAATTCCTCATAGGCTTCAACTAATTAACCCAAAAAAAAGAAACCTCCAAAATCAGTAAAAAAAATTTTTAAAAAAAAGGCAAACAATTTTCAAGAATCTTATCTAGTAAAATGTAATCGCACAAAACGGCTCCGTGGATGAATAAAACAGAAATCAATCCACAGATTCCTATCAAAATGCGAAATATTAAAAAAAAATTAATTTCGGTTTGATCATAGCATTTCCGGTCATTGCCTTTTTCCGGCTACCGGAAACGTGGCATCAAACCTTTTCTCCTAAAATTAGCAAAAAAAAAAAAAGTTAAAATCAAAATTAAAACCTAATTACTAGCTAATTAATTACCTCAGAGACCCGTTTCAAATCAACCACGCAGCGAAAGAGGGAGACGGTGAAATCGGACTTGCAAAACCCGACCAATTAAACAAAACAAAAATTGCAACACACGCAAAGATTGCCCTGAAATCGGTGGATGGGAAAAGCGTGCCCGCCGCTCTCTCTATCGGCTGCATTTTTTAAAAGTGTCATACGGCACTTCCTATTCCTGGGATTTCTTCCTCATCGGCCAGCAATTCAGCATCAAATATGAAAATTGTGAAAAAAAAAAAAAAAAAAAGAGGAAGAAGAAGCTAATTGAAATGGTTGTTCTGGAGAAGCAAGGCGGAGAGGGAGATTATATAGAGGTATGGTATCTATAAGGTGAAAACCCTAATAACCTAATTCTTTTTTATTATTTTGTAAAACCCTAGTGGTAATTATTTGTGTCCGGGCCGGCTGGGCATTCATTTTGTTGGTTCGGTAAAATGGATTTCTGAGGCCCAATTTATTTGGGCTTTCCTCTGCCCTTTCTTTTCCCTTTTTTTTTCTCCTTTGAAGCTGTGTTTCCTTTGCCTTTGGGCATTTTTTCTGATGTTAATTGTTTCTAAGGGTTAATTACAATTAGTTCCTGTAAGGTTTAATCTGCATCTTACTTTACCCGCTAGCCATTTCTTGTTGCAGCTTAACCTCTTTTACCCCCTAATTTTTCCTCCGTGCTACTTAACGCCTCGTGCGACAAAATTATCCCTTTACTCATATGATTTTTCATTTTCTATTGCTTTCGTCTTTCCTTTTTGACTTTCCCTTTTCTTTTTCTCCTTTCTCTTCCAACCAAAAAATTCATTCCCAATGACTAGGCCTAATTTTTTTTTTTTTTTGCGAAAAACCAAAAGCAAAGAAAATTCACATTATTTAATGACCATGTAGCAGTTAATATTAATGTAATTTCTTTTGTCTCACATGGCATTATGTGAAAGATTAGGTGGTAAAGTGAGAATCAATGTATTGTAATTGGCCCTTCTATTACCATGAATTGGCAGTTTAACAAAACAATGAGAAATTTTGAAAATACACAAGAAATGACAAAAGGTTAGCATTACTAAATCAAATTTTTTTCTTATTGGATAGGTAAGTTTTTAGCCTATCTAATATAATCTAATTTAATCCCTCAAGTATTATAAAAAGAGAAGGGGAGTTACCGTAGCAGCCCTAGTGATTGCCACATAGCTCCCCTTCTTTTTGACAAGTGGCGTACTCCTTTTAAGGAAGGTGATTTAATTTCTTTTCTTTTTTCTTTTTTCTTTTTTTTGTTATTTTTTCCCTTATTTTCTCCTTCCCTTTTGACTAAGACAAAAACCTACGCAAATCCTACTGTACCGCCGCTTCATCCCGTCCCACCCTTTACCTCTTTACCTGCTTCCACGCTTCATACCTTTCTCTTTCAATGTTTTTTTTCTAAATGAGGCGAATTTACTAACACAGCTCATATTGTTAATTTTCTTTCTAAAATTTTGCCAATGTATTCCTATTTATACTTAAGGACATGTGAAGGTGTATGTATTTGTTAGAATTAATTTTACAAAAAAAATTTCACGCTTTCTTTTTTCAGTTAATTTTTAACTTAGCACTGTCTTATTTTTGGGCTAATGTTTCGAATTAGCAATGCTAAATAGAGACACTATCATGTTGAATCTATATTTGCCACATATTTAATTCTTATATTGCTACTATTTTTTTAAATAAAAATATAAGTATATATATTTTAAACAATGTTTTAGATGGGCCCAATCTGTGCCTTGCACAGCGTGATTTTCCTAGTCTAATATGTGTATTAATTTTCTGTGTACTTCCCTATATACTAGGTTGTTGAGTTGTCCTATTCAATATTCTGCCAAGTGGATGCCGCATCTTTTGTCTCGTGTACATATTCCATAATTTATTTGGTGAGCTTTGAGTTGTTTTACTTTTTGTTACATCAATCAATCTAGTCCTTTTCCACGCATATCTTTTCCATAATTTCCGTAGGAATTGTGTATAAATTTCAAAATACATTTGTCCTTCTTATCGTTATGACTTAATATGACTTATATAGTTTCCAAATTTTGAATGCCGTAAAGATACAATCATTCATTAATCCCCTTTAGGGGCGAAGTCTGCGCAATGTGCGGGAGTGAATACCTGTATTATAATTTATTAAGTATCAAGAGATTAAGAAAGTAAAAAATATTATCAATATTGGTAAGAAAATGAGAAAATATTGTGATTTTTAAATACACAAATAAAATCAAGGAAAACATGACGATCACGGAAGTTACGGACAACTTATGACCACACATTGCATTAGTTAGCCAACTTGCAACTTGTATCTCCGGTGGCATAACATAATTGCTCAAAAAACCACTTGATTCTTTTACTCTTAAACAATGGGTCCTCTCTAATTCTCCTTTGTCACAACTTGGAAGAGCAAGCACCAAATTGTATTTGGGAGATCACAGCGTTGTGATAAAATATATGTTATATAGATATAGTAATAAAAAGTATTCATTTCTCGATCTCATTTTTCTTATACAATAAAAAATGAAAATTAGCTTTTATGTGATTTTGTCATAAATGTTTATGCAACAAAATTCTAGAAATTCTAAATTACAAGTAAATGCAATCTCAAAATATTTAAAAGCACTAAAAGTGACATTTTTCATAGGCAAAAGCTGGATGTAGGGTGGCGCAATGAAATTTGTCAAAATTTGAAAACCAACCACAGAAAGACATTTGAAGAAAAGTGTCCAAATCTATTGGTCTTAAATGGACTTTTTGGACTGAGAAAGGAACGTGATAGGGTGCATTTTGGTGGGATATTTTGGGTCTAATTGCACAGTTATTTGACTAAATATTGCATTAATTGGGTGGACTTTACTCAGATATGATTTTGGTGCTAATTGCAGGATTTAATGCTGAAAAGTGCTTAAAATTAAAATTTAGAAGATTCGTCGTATGTGGGCACTTCAAACAGTGGGGTCCACTGAGAAGCGAAGAAATCAAATTGTAATAGATTTTATTTTATTTTATTTAGAAAGTCTTGTTTCTTTGAAGGCTAATTCCGATAAGAGGAAAGCTTTTTCCTGGAATTTCGGGACTACCAAAAACAAAAGGGAGGAAGTAGACTCCCAGGAGAAAAAAAAGAAGAGACGAGACATTTCGGTGCTTTTATATTGGCTCTCTCTCTCTAGTGGGGAGCTTTCTCTCTCTAAAATTGAGAGCATTCTCTCCTCTGGGTGGGAGACCGAAAATTGAAACTTGAATCTTCAAATTCCAAAACCCCGCTCAAAATCCAAAAACTTTGGCTCTCTCAAACACCACAAAGAATAACCTTAAACACAGCATTAGATCCCATAAAGAGATCCCAAACCTTAAAGTTAAGACAAGATCCATTGGAAGACTGAAGTTGTGAAGTTAAAGGCAGACAAAAACAAATGACGGGGTCGTCAGTATTAAGACTGAAGTAAATGCTACCTATCAGCTAAGGCATAAACTGTTCAGGTATCTCTGGTCATTAACTACTCTACCATGCCTTAACTTGCATTTTCTAGTCTTGTGTACTCTTCTGAGTTCAGTTTTTTCTTGCATTTGCACGGTTAGGTCATTTTTGCCTATCTGATAGTGCATTTACCTGGAAAAGATAATAGACTGGTTGCCTTTTCTAACTGTTTAGCTAGGTTCTTTTATTTGCTAAGTTAAAGTCAGAGGAATCCCTCTTAGATCTCTTGGGTTCCATGGCGGATGAACTGGAGGAAATCTTGAAAAAATTTGCTCTCTCAAATCTAGAACAGAAGGGAGCATGGTTAGAATTGGATGATGTAGATCCAGGAGTCTCTGAATGCAAAAGCAGCCTCATTGGTAAAATCAGAGGAGAAAAAGTGGCAAACTATACGGGAGTAAAGAATTTTGTCACGGTAGCCTGGGGGTACCCAAAAGAACTCACAATGATTGAATTGGGGCCGAATCTTTTCCAATTCCTTATTCCAGAGCTGGAGAGCAGGGAAAGGATTCTTAATGGAGGGCCTTGGGTGATGGACAATCAAATTCTTGTGCTGAATAAATGGGAAGCAAGTATAGAGGAAAACTCTGAGGCTTTCAAATTTGCCCCACTCTGGGTGCAAGTATGGAACCTCCCTATTCACTGGATCTCTAAGGATGTGGGGAGGAAAATTGGAATGGTGTTCAAGGAGGTAAAGGATGTGATAATCCCATATTCAGGGGGAAAAGATGGGAAACACATGAAGATGCTAGTGAGTGCAGATATAACTCAGCCACTGCTTAGAGGTACCGCTGTTAAGATGAACGGAGTACAAAAATGGGTTAGTTTTAGATATGAAAGGGTACCAGATTTTTGTTATAATTGTGGAATAATTGGGCACAGTGAAAAGAAATGCAAAAATGTGGTGATTATTAGAAAAGGGCAACAAGAAAATCAGTATGGGCCCTGGTTGAGAACTCAGATTGGGAAAGGATCACCCCAAAAAGAAAGCAAAGTCAGCCCGTACACCCCAGATAGACAAGTGTGGGGATTTCATAATGGAGAATGGATGAAGAGATGTGGGGGAAATCAGTGATACAGGAGTCAATCCCTTACGAACATGAGCATGGCAAAGAAGGGGCTAAAAGTGTAAACACAGAAGTGCTGGGGCATGATCAAAAGGAGGGATCAAATGATAGGACTGAGAAATCAGTTCAGGAACATGAGGAGATACTAGATGCTCAAGAGGACGAATGGATAGAGAAGGCAGAGGAGGTGAATCAAAAAAGAAGTCTGATATCAGCATTGGAAGCAGAAAATAAAGGGAAGGAGATAATTCCAGTGGAAACTCACCCTGTATCCGGAGAGGTGGAAGAAAGCATCAATGGAAATAGGCTGGAGGTAGGAATAAGTATGGAATTAGAAATGCAGATGGATGAGATAGGAGTGGAGAAAAATATAGGGGTACGAACTAGAAGAGGAAGAAGAGTAAAACTGTTGAGTAAAATCAATGAAAGAAATAGGTAACCTCTGATGGAAATCCAGAACTTGGAAGTTGGAAATGGACAGAACACCAAAAGGAAATTTCACATTGTGGATGAGGAAATGGCTGATATGGCAGTAGCTGATCAGACTGCTAAAAGGAACAGAACAATGGACGGGGAGGGAAGTAACAATCAGATCAGAAGAGAGGAAGAGACCAGCCCTATTTGGTCTCTCAATCAGTCATGAGAGCTCTGGTGTGGAATTGCCAAGGTGCTGGGAGCCCCTTGACAGTTCCCCATCTGAAGGATGTTAATAGACTCCTCTCCCCAAGTATCATTTTCTTAAGCGAAACTAAAAACAGGAAAAAGTATATGGAAAAAGTAAAAAATATCTTGAGGTTTGAAAACAGCTTTATAGTTGAAGCTATGAACAAAACTGGAGGAATGACCATTTTGTGGAATAATGAGGTCAAGATTTCTGAGGTACAAGCTTCGGCCTTTACTATAGAGGCAAAAGTGGAAGATGAGGAGAAAAGGGAAAGCTGGTGGTTTGTAGGTGTTTATGCCAGCTGTGACAGTCATATAAGGAAGGGACAGTGGGAGGTGATTAATAGAAGGAAGTCAGGTTGGGGGGATAAATGGATTATCATGGGGGATTTCAATGATATAACCTCAAATGAGGAAAAATGGGAGGGAAGGGTTAGAGATGCTAAAAACTTCCAAGATTTTAGGGAATTCATTAATGACAATAAGTTAATAGATATTGGCTATGAGGGGAAGCCATGGACGTGGTGCAACAATTGGTATGGGACTAGAGAAGTGAAAGAAAGACTTGACAGGGGGTTGTGTATGGTGGACTAGTCTCAATGTTATGCTGATGCAAACTGTACACATATTGAATCCCATGCTTCAGACCATAGTATGTTAGTGCTTGATACTCAGAAAGTCAGGAAGAATAGGAAAAAAAGATTTCAGTTTGATAAAAGATGGATCCAACAAGAGGATGTTGAGGGAGTGGTTAAAAAGGCTTGGAGCACCCATTGTGAGGGAACAAGATGGTTCAAGGTTAAACAGAAGATTAGGAACTGTAGAGTGGAACTATTAAAGTGGAGCAGCAGCAAGAAAGGGAACTCACTTTAAAAAATCAAATGGTGCAAAAAGCAAATTGATGACATCAAGACCTCAACAACTGAAAACAAAAAGCAACAAGTGCAGGAAATGAAATGGCAGTTGAAAAAGGCATATGAGGATGAAGAAGCATACTGGAATCAGAAATCTAGGCTAAGATGGTTGAAGGAGGGCGATAAGAATACTCAATTCTTTCATGCTACTGTTAAAGGAAGGAGGAAAAGGAACAAAATCCAGAATCTGAGAATGGCTAATGGAGAATGGACTGCAAATGAAGATGAACTAGGGAAAGAAGTAGCAAAATACTATAAGGATCTGTTTAAGAGTTCAGTAACTGGGGAACTAGAAGAGATATTAAATGGGATTCCAGTGACAATAACTGAACAAATGAATAAGGAGCTAACTAAAAAAGTGGATGAAAATGAAATCAAGTCTGCTTTCTTCTCTATGGATCCTAATAAGGCTCCTGGGAGTGATGGCATGTCCCCTCTATTCTTTCAAAAATTCTGGAGCATTATTAAAAAGGATTTGGTAAACGCAATCCAAGGTTTTTTCCATCATAGTGTTATCTTAAAAGCCATAAACCACACAGTTATATCCCTGATCCCAAAAATTGATTGTCCCATAGAGATTAACCAGTATAGACCTATAAGTCTTTGCCAAGTAGTCTACAAAGCTCTAGCTAAAATTCTTGCCAACAGACTGAAACCTTTTCTCAGTAGGTGCATCAGCAAATCTCAATCTGCATTCGTACCAGGTAGGCAAATTTTAGATAATATCATTCTGTCCCATGAGTTAATGCATTATCTGAAAAACAAAAGGCAAGGTAGAGTAGGCTCTATGGCTGTGAAACTGGATATGTCGAAAGCCTATAACAGGGTGGAATGGAGGTTCCTAAAGGCAATAATGGAGAAAATGGGATTTTGCTCTACTTGGGTAGGATGGATCACAGCATGCATCAGCTCAGTAACATATTCGTTCAACATCAATGGTGAGCAGAAGGAGTTTGTCACCCTCACTAGAGGCATAAGGCAGGGCGATCCACTCTCTCCCTACTTGTTTTTACTATGTTCAGAAGGACTATCAAATCTACTACAGAAAGCTAAGGTGGAGAAGGAGCTGACTAGAGTAAAAATTAGTAGAGGGGCGCCTGCAATCACCCACCTATTCTTTGCTAACGACTCCCTTGTCTTCTGTAAGGCTAACAAACAGGAAGCTGGAAAACTGATGATGATACTCAAGCAGTATGAAGAGGCTATGGGGCAGCTCATTAATAAGGAAAAGTCATCTGTATACTTTAGCAAAAATACAATGCAATTTGTGAGAAGTGAGGTCTGTCAAGCCATGGGATCAATTAAACAGGTAGGACAAGGTAAATATCTTGGACTACCTATGATAATCACGAGATCCAAGGAGCAGGTGTTTGGATTCATAAGGAATTCTGTTGACAAGAAATTGCAGGGATGGAAAAACAAGCTGCTAAGTCAAGGAGGGAAGGAGATAATGCTTAAAGCGGTAGCAATGGCCATGCCTACCTATACTATGTCTTGCTTTAAACTACATATGCAGGGAGTTGAGTTCTAAAATGGCAGATTACTGGTGGGGTGACAATGATGGGAAGAAAAAAATACACTGGATAGGATGGAAAAAAATGGCAGCGAAAAGAAGCAAGGGGGGATTAGGATTTAAGGATCTGCAACTGTTCAACAAAGCTCTGCTGGCTAAACAAGTCTGGAAGTTAATTACACAACCAAACTTGCTAGTCAGTAAAGTGTTAAAGGAGAAGTACTATCCTAAGCTATCAGTTTTCAATAGCAAGGTGCCTCAGAATGCATCGTGGATCTGGAGGAGCCTATCTGGGGTAAGAAATTGCAGTAAGGAATCAGGAGGAGAATAGGTAATGGGAAGGGGACAAGAATTTGGGAAGATAATTGGATCCCAGAGACGCCAGGAGGGAAACCAACATCTGTTAAGCCCCAGGGGTGCCAACTAAAACTGGTTTCTGAACTGATTAGGAACAATAGATGGAATAGAGCCCTTATCTTCAAAACTTTCAACCATCAAGATGCTGCAAGAATCCTGACTATACCAATAAGTGTGACAAGAATAGAAGGCAGCTACTACTGGGCGCATAATCAAAATGGACAATATACAGTTCAGTCTGGATACAAGGCTTGGGTGAAGAAAAAGGAAATGGAGATATCTGGAAGGAGGGACGAAGCTGGAACTAGCCTGGATGGAACCATCTCTCAAATATGGAGGTCACTGTGGGAGCAGAACGTAAGTCAAAAGATGAAAATTTTCATATGGAAGTGCTTGCACAGGGGACTACCAGTTAGAGAAGTCATCTACTCAAGGACTAGGCAAGGAACCCCGATATGTGCTGGATGTGGGGCAAATGAAGAAACAATTGAACATATGCTACTCCAATGCCATAAAGTCAAGGAAATCTGGGAAATGGCGCCAGTGAAGTGGGATGGAATAGAACACCTGTCAAATTGCTTCACCAAATGGTGGTCTGCAATACATGAAGCTCAAGTGAGCAGAAGAGGGTAGGATCAGGTCAACCTTACCATCAATATACTCTGGCAGATCTGGAAGGCAAGGAACAATAGAGAGTTTAACCATAAGGAGAAGGAGCCTTTTAAGATAATAGAGAAGGCTCTAAAGGAATGGACAGAATTTGAAGAAGCTAACAAATGGAAGGATGCTGGGAATAGCACTCTGGAAACAGAGGAACAGCAAAGGGCAGATCAAGAGCAAATGGAGTGCCATACTGGACTGCTGTTAAAGATTCATACCCACCAAAGTAAAGATCAACCAACTGTGGGGATTGGAATCTCAGCAACAGACTATATGGGACAATTGCAAGCAGTTTGGGCACTAACAGAAAGGACATCATGAGATTTACTACAAGACCAAGCTGCAGCAGTCAGATTAGCTCTACTGAAAGCTGGTAATCAAGGATGGAGGAACATTCAAGTGGAACTGGACAACCGAAAGCTGGTAGATGCCATAAAGAAACCAAGACACCACAATCATCTGATGGCTATTCTAATAGAGGATATAAGGTCCATTTGTAATTTGTTTCAAAAGTGCTCTATCTCTTTTGCTATTTCAAGGAAAGTAGAATGTATTAAGTTGAGCTTGCATGCTCTAAACATCTGGATAGATGAAGAATTGGTGAATCCCAATCTTAGATGCTAGTGCATCAGTAAGTTGCTGGGACAGTTTGTTCCTTTTCTTTGGACCGTTGTCCAAACACTGTACAGGTTAAGGAGATATATATAAAATGCTAACGTTTCGGGAAAAAAAAAAAAAGACTCCCATGAGGACTACTTGTTTTGGAGGAGAATTTCGTTTGACAGAGTTTTTTCTTTTTTGTCGTTATTCTTTGGAATTTCGTAAGCCTGAGCTTTGTAAAGCAATCAGGAGACAAAAGCTACCGTTGTTGACATTGCAAGTTGCTTTTCCAATTGTATTGACCAATTTGAGTAAGAAAGCAATTGAAAAACCCTTTTTCTCGTATGATCTGCTTAGCAATTAGGAGAAAACAGGGATACCTTTATGGTAGGAACCTACCTATGGTAGGAAGGCCGGCAAAGAGCGACACGTGTTGGGGTGCATACAGTCTAAACGGAGACGTTAAATTGTTGCATAGCGCGTGAAGAGGAAATTAGATAGAATCGTTTGTGGATACAACCAAAAAGCACACTGACTTCCGTACGAGTTGGGCCAGGAAATGTTATTGCAAGTTAAAACCAGAGGCATTTATATATTTGCAAATGTACCCATTACCAATGGAAAAATGCTGCAAATGCCTTGGACAAAAAATGTGTGTAAAGAAGGTATCGAAATTTTAAAAAATAATAAATGATTATCGCACACGCGTGGGGGATAATAATTTGGAAGAAGGAAAGGTGGAGATAAATGAAAGGATTCAAGCCTTCATTAAATTTATATACATATATAAATTTAGTACCAAGTGTTGAGCTTAAGCATGTGGGAAAATGGAGTAGTAACTAGCGTTATGGTAAAAAAATAGTTTTAGACATGATATAATAGGTTATAATAATTTTATCAACCATTTGATTACCTGTTGAACTTATTCACTTGAATAGGATTATGCGTAAAAATAAGGAAGTAAGTTTGTCATCTAAAATAGAAAGTTAACGTAATAAACTAGTAACTTTTGCAGCCCAAAAGGTGAATTGAAAGTATTATGAAACATACTTTTTAAAAAGATAAATTACAATTTTTATCCTGAATATAGTTTTGAGGGAGTAAGTTTATTCAAAGTAATAGTATGTTTTTATACATAAATAATCATTTTTACTTATAACATAGTAAATTTGATTAATGACAAAAACATGCTAATTTGTGGCAAAAATATTCTATTATGCTTAAAAAACTTATGCCAAGGCCATATTTTATTGTTATTTGAAATAACACTAAAATGTTTTATTAATGATTAAAACTGAGTACCTTACTTGGTAAGTACTATTTATATACTTGTATAAATACTTGATCATATGTGAATAAATTAATATTTTTGAAATTTATACATAATTAAATTTTTTGTGTTGCAGTTTTAAAAAAAGTAAGCGAAAATTTTTTTACGCAGAACACAAAAATCCACAAGTCAAAATAGTTGGTTTGAAAGGGAAAGATATAGCTGAATATCATTGTTTAAAGTGCTAAACAAATAGATGTAAAATATTGGTTAAAAACTGGTACTTTGACATATAATAAAGGAAAGTCATAAAAAGCAGGCTATTTATGGAAAAAGTTCTCATTAATAAAAATACCAACTCTTCACGGCTTTCTTACAAGACCTCCAAAGAATGAGCAAAGTACCAATAGTTGACATAGTAAATTTTTCGATTTATACAGAATTAAATTGTTTCTTGCATTTTAAAAAAAATAATGAAAATTTTTTATCAAAAGCACATAAGTCAAATGAATTTGTCTATAAGGGAAAGGAATAGCAAATATGTACTACAGTGCTATTTTTGAAAAATACCTCGAAAAATATGTAATCCAAGCGGAACCGATTCTTTATTATTTAAAATACCAAATCTGTGATTGTGTTTTAACTGTTATCCATTGGTATTCTAAAGTATCATGTTTCCATCAAATACCACCTCTTTAACACCCATTTTCCCGTAAAAAATTTATTTATTGGATAAAATAAAAATAAACCGGTTTTGTAATAAAATACTAGCTCTTTATAGTTTCCCTCAATTATAAGAATAGAGTACCCATTTTTTCATTAAAAAATTTATTTATCTGATAAAATAAAAATAAATTCGTTTTCCAATAAAATACTAACTCTTTATGGCTTTCCTGCATTATAAGAACAGAGTATCCATTTTTGCATAGAAAAATGTATTTATCGAATAAAATAAAAATAAATTTGTTTTTCAATAAAACACTACATCTTTATGGCTTTCCTGTATTATAAGAACAGAGTACCCATATTTTCATAAACCAATTTATTTATCGGATAAAATAAAAATAAATCCATTTTCGAATAAAACACTAGTTCTTTATGACTTTCCTCCATTATAAGAACAGATTACCCATTTTTTTATAAAAGAATTTATTTATCGGATAAAATAAAAATAAACCCATTTTTCAATAAAACACTAATTCTTTATGGCTTTTCTCCATTATAAGTAGGGCCCGGATCCGTCAAATTTATCCGGACATGGGTAGGGATTTAGTTCCGTTACCCGGAAACAGATCCGGATTCGTTTTGTCAAACAAAAAAACGGGTCGGGTAGGAATATAGTATTCCGGCCCGTATTGGACCTGGATCCGAATATAAATGGATTAATAATTTAAAAAAAAAATATTTATTAATATAATTTGATTAGGATGATGTATTTAAGTAATCAATATAATTGGACCCAGATCCTAATCAATATAATTTGATTAGGGTGATGTATTTGAATAAGGTTAATTTGATTTCTTTTCTTATTTGATTTTTTTTTTGTATTAGTTAGAAATTAGTTTATAAATATATGTTTTTTTCTCAGGAATTATAAATTTTGTTAGTTTTTTTTTGGATAGACCTGAATCCAGATCTGGGACCCGTCGGATCCGGATCCGGAACATAAAGTAAAAGACCCGTCGGGTAAACGGGTTGGATCCGGATCCGATAGTGTGCCGGGTCCGGGTCTGGAATAATGAATTTCGGCCCGGACCTGACCCATTGACAGGCCTAATTATAAGAACACAGTACCCGTATTTCCATAAACCAATTTATTTATCGGATAAAATAAAAATAAATCAATTTTCTCATAAAACACTAGCTCTTTATGACTTTTCTCCATTATAAGAACAGAATACCCATTTTTTCATAAAAGAATTTATTTATCGGATAAAATAAAAATAAAAAGAAACCCGTTTTTCAATAAAACACTAGCTTTTTATGACTTTTCTCCATTATAACAACAGAGTACCCATTTTTTCATTAAAAAATTTATTTGTCGGACAAAATAAAATAAACCCGTTTTTCTATAAAACGCTAACTCTTTATGGCTTTCCTACATTATAAGAACAGAGTACCCATTTTTTATAAACAAATTTATTTATTGGATAAAATAAAAATAATTCATTTTTCAATAAAGCACCAGCTACTTATGGCTTTCCTCCATAAATTATCTATTTTCATAAGTTAATTTATTAGTTGGATAAAATTAGAATAAAATTAGGTTGACAGCAAATTACTTTTTACGATAAAATTGAAATACAGGAAAATAACCTATAGCAAGTTTTAAGTCCATTTCCATTACAAAAATATGCTAGAAATTCTTTTTGCAAATGCAATACACCTAATTCATAAAATCTCAAGAAACCTTTACAACCGTTATGCAAAAGCAACTTATTCATTCTAAATTTTTAGCATCAATTTGATTATCTATTGGATATATCCACCTAAATAGGATAATTTGTATTTTCTGGAACACGAGATATAATAAGAATTAAACTTGTATTAATGTAGACCTAACAAAATGAGAGAAATATCATAACAATTAATACAATAATAAGAATAATAGAGTTGGTATAACAAAATTAGTATAGTCTAGAATTTTATTTTTTTGTGTAGATAGTTCACGAATATGAGATTGAACCACTAAAAAAAAGACATCTATATCTATCTATATGTATTGCAGATGGAATTTTGGATAAGGAGCTTTCCAAATTGTCAAAAGTCTGAATACTATTTTATTACAATTTTACATTTCTAAAATTAATAAATGTTTATGTCACAACTAATCCTTTAACTGCTCGTACAAATCCTATACTCATGCTCATATTTTTTCCACATTTCCCTCACGTTTTCCCCACTAACCCATAAAATTAAAACTCCTAAATTTTAACTAACAGATAATAACCACCTATGTGAAATGATATATGCAAATTTCAATTAATGTCTCATATTTACTGCTGACTTTACAGATAGTAATAACTAACAGTTATTACTGACATTTATATCTCACACTTACCACATTACTCATAGTAATAACTAACTGTTAATTTAAGAAATTCGCAACTACGAAAGTCACATATCCAAAATTTAGGAGCATGTTTAAATTATAATTTTCACAATTCAATGTATTTTATTGTCATAATATAGTTTATTCTCATAATCATTCACAAAATTGATGCTCACTAATCCAATTGACCCATTTAATTTGTCATCCTATAAATTGAATATAGCGAAAAAATTATGTATCATACATTCACCATGGATAAATCTCAATCACAAACATTTCAGTCAGTGACAAAGCCAAGATTATTTTTCTACACTGGGGCTAAAATTTTTCTAGAGGGGGTAAAATGAGTACTCTATTTTTATAATAGAAGAAAACCATAAAAAGTTAGTGTTTTATTGA